GTAGGAGGTGAGCTAAGGAGTTTTTAGTTTTAAAGTGGAAGCCTGTGATTATTGTGCCTGCTCATAAGGGGATTGCTATACTGAGATTTATTGATAGTCGAGTAGTTGGTGTAAATGAGTGGGGTAGAAGCCCAAGGAGATCGATGGAGGCAATAAAGAGAATTAGGGATATTAGTATAAGGAATCAGGTTCATCCTTTAGTATTATGTAGGATTATTATTTGGTTTAGAACAAGTTGAACTAGTCATTGTTGAATAGAAATCAATCGGTTATTGATGAGATAGTTGGAGGTTGGAAGGAGTGTGGTGGGAAACAAGATTATTAGTGCTGCTGTGGGTAAACAAAGGATTGTCGGGGCAGTAAATGAGATTTTCATTCATTTTAGTTCTCAAGGGCTGTCACGATTTTGTGTTTTAATTATTTTCGGTGTAAGGGGTGTATAGTAAATGAACTTTGATAGTTTTAATTGGATAATGGAGAATAAAGTTATGATTGTTGATATAATAACAATAGGTCATGTGGAAGTATCTAGTTGAGGCATTCACTGTAGAGAGGTGTGATTTCTCTCAGTCTTTAACAGAAAAGGTTGACACTGGGGTAGCTTTACAGTGATATTATAGTGCGGATATAGACCAAGTTTTGAAAGTTTTTAATGGGACTAATTCTAGAATAATAGGTGTAAAACTGTGGTTAGAGCCACAAATTTCTGAGCATTGTCCATAGTAGAGGCCTGGTCATGTAGCAGTTAAGGCAGATTCATTTAAGCGTCCAGGGATTGCATCTGGTTTTAACCCTAATGAGGGAATAGATCATGATGTAGGGATAATCAGAGTAACTTTGAGGCATACCATATAGGCTGAGGAAATGTTGCAGGATAAAAGTTAAATTGACACCTATATATATGATGGCAAAGTGAATTTTAGCATACATTTGATTAAGTGTATAACCTGAAATAGGTGGATCAGTGGACAAAGCCACCAATAATAGCAAATATGGCTCATGCAATGTCCATATGCTCAAATGGCTTTTTTCCAGAGTAGTATGTTACGATATGGAAAAATACCCTAAAACCCAGCAGGAGGAGGATACAGACTTCAAGGTGACCAAAGAATCAGAATAAGTGCTAATATGTGATAGGATCACCTCCACCAGCTGGGTCAAAAAAAGTAGTATTAAGATTGCAGTCACTTAACAGTATAATAATGCTGGCGGCTAGGACTGGGAGAGAAAGGAGTCGGAGAACTGCTGTTATTAGGACTGATCAGACGAAAAGGGGTGTGTGACTTTGGGACATAGCTGGAGGTTTTATGTTAATAATTGTGGTGATAAAGTTAATGGCCCCTAAAATAGAAGAGACACCTGCCAAATGGAGTGAGAAGATGGTTAAACCTACAGAGCCTCCTGCATGTGTTAGGTTTCCTGCTAAGGAGGAGGGGGTAGACTGTTCTGCTGATTCCAGCGCCAGCCTTTATTATAGTGGATACAAGTAATAGTAGGAAAGAGGGTGAGCACAGTCAGACACTCATATTATTTATCTGGGGAAATGCTATGTCGGAGCGCCAATTATCAGAGAGATTAACCAGTTGCCAAAACCTACAATTATAATTGGTATTACTATAAAGAAAATTATGACAAATGCAAACAGCTTCACAAAATGATTACATAGCTCAAAGGTGGAAGTGAGACATAACTGCTGCCTAATTTCTGTGCCTGCATGGGCCTAATAACTTAGAGGTAGTTTACATTCCTCAGATTAAAAAATTTCTGCCTGGTGCAGTGGCTCATGCCTGGAATCCCAGAACTTTGGGAGGTGGAGGCAGGTGAATTACTTGAACCCAGGAGTTCAAGGCAAACCTGAACAACGTATCGAAATCTTGTCTCTAGTAAAAAGACAAAAATTAGCTGTATGTGGTAGTGCATGCCTGTAGTCCTGGCTACTCAGGAGGCTGAGGCAGGAGGATCGCTTGAACCTGGGAAGTCAAGGCTGAAGTAAGCTGTGATTGTGCCACATAAAGATGGGAACAGCAGACACTGGAGACCACTGGGTGGGGGGAGGGAGTGGGCCAAGGGTTGAAAAACTACCTATTGGGTACTGCGTTCATTGCTTGGGGGATGTGATCAGTCCTACCCTAAAACTCAACATCGTGCAATACACCCATGTAACAATCTGCACATGTAACCCTTGAAACTAATAGTTGAAGTTTTCATAAAATCAAATAGTTCCTCACTATGGATGCCCAGTCATAGTTGAAAATTGTAGGTATCTAGAAGGATTCAGTAGTGAACTATATTTATTCAAGACTTTTTAGGTTAATGTGTTTTTAAATGTTTGTTTTGCAATTTTATATATTGACGTCTCATGGTATAGGATAGGCTACCTCATTTTAGTTAATTGTGTTTTTGTTTTGATTCATATGTTATAATTCTGTATGACAATATTCAACTTCATACACTTTAAGCCAGTGTACAGCAAAATTAAATATGAATCAGCCATATGTCTGTTGCCACTATAATTATCTTCACGTTTGTTTGCCTGTATAAATATTAGCCACATTTTAAAATAATTTGTATAATGGTTATTTTGGTTGGTTATAGATGGTTATTTTCTCTTGTGTTGGTGAGTAGTCGTGGAAATTGTCTTAATTTCCACACGTGTTTATTGGTGAATATTATCTTGGTGTGAGAAACATTTTGTGATTTGGAGGTAAGTTTTGAAAAGCTTCCTAACTCTATTGTACATTTATTTATTTTTATTTTTCAAAAATACACACCAATATGTACAATCTTAAGTACTTCAAATTATGTCGTTAATTTATGTTACATATACTGACACTGTTAGCAATATATCTGTAGACAGTTTTCTATTTTTATGTTATTACATTGAGACAGAGTCTCACTCTGTCATCCAGGCTGGAGTTCAGTGGCACAATCTCAGCTCTCTGCAATCTCCTGGGTTCTTATTTTCCTAATTACACTTAGTTGTCTGTATTCCCATGTTACATATGGAGCATAATTGAGATGGTTATTTTGATTTTTTTTTTCAGATAATTCTCCTGGCTCAGCCTCCTGAGTAGCTGGGATTACAGGTGTGTGCCACCATGCCTGGCTAAATTTTGTATTTTTAGTAGAGATGGGATTTTCCCATGTTGGTTAGGCTGGTATTGAACTCCTAACCTCATGTGATCTGTCTGCCTTGGCCTCCCAAAGTGCTAGGATAACAGGCATGAGCCACCTGCCCAGCCTAGAATGTTTTCATCTTGTTAAACTAATACACAATCCATGTGAATCCCATTTCCCATTACCTGGCGCTTTCCAAACATTATTCTGTTTTCTCTTTTTAATAGTGTAACTACTTTAGATATCCCATATAAGCAGATTCATACAGTATTTGTCTTATTTTTGGCTGGTTCATTAAATTTAACATAATGTCAAGATTTATGTTTATAGTAGATGTTAGAAGATTCCTTCCTAGGCCGGGCGCGGTGGCTCACGCCTGTAATCCCAGCACTTTGGGAGGCCGAGGCGGGCGGATCACAAGGTCAGGAGATCGAGACCATGGTGAAACCCCGTCTCTACTAAAAATACAAAAAATTAGCCGGGTGCGGTTGTGGGCGCCTGTAGTCCCAGCTACTCAGGAGGCTGAGGCAGGAGAATGGCGTGAACCCGGGAGGCGGAGCTTGCAGTGAGCCGAGATCACGCCACTGCACTCCAGCCTGGGCGACAGAGCGAGACTCCGTCTCAAAAAAAAAAAAAACAAAAAAACAAAAACAAAAACAAAAAAAACAAAGAAAAAAAGAAGATTCCTTCCTGACGGGAGGAAGTTGTGCACCTCCACAGGCCACTAAGAGGTGAGAGCCAACTTGAGGACGACTTGGACCTGCAGAGGCCCCCGGGAGGCAAGCGCGGGGCCCTCAGAGGCTGTTCTCCAGCCAGAGCTGGGTCTGTGCAGCCCACTGGGAGGCAGAAGGTGAGCCTACAGAGCTTTGACTGGAGAAAGGTTTGGGTCTAAAAAGACTGGCGGGAGCTGGGCAGGAGCTGAGCCCACAGAGGTTGCTTGTTTTGAGGCGCGAGTCAGGCCTGTCAACGCAGCCAGGAGGAAGGGGAAGAGTTGGACCTGGAGAGGCCATCACCAGGGAGGCTGAGAATGGGCCTCTACAGGCCAATGGGAGGCAGGAGCTGGCCCTGGAGGGGCCCACTTGAGGCCCCGTGTTGTGCCTGGAGAGGCTGCCGGGAGGCCGGAGCTAGGCTTGGAGAGGATGACTTCAGGACGATGTTGGGGCCTGCAGAAGCTGCCGGGAGGCCCAAGCTGGGCCTAGAGGAGCCACTTGGAGGAAGTTTGGGGGCGTGGAGACTCCATCGGAGGGCAGAAGCTGAGCCTCCTGGAGAAGCCAACATGAGGCCTGAGCTGGGCCTGGAGAGTTGGGCTTGAGGAAGTTGTGGGCCTACAAATGCCACCAGGAGCTGGGCAGGAGCTGAGTCCAAAGAGGTTGCCATGAGGCAGGAGTTGGGCCTGTAGACACAGCTGGGAGGAAGAGCTGGGTCTGGAGAGGACACTGGGAGGCTGCAGCTGGGTCTGGATATGCCAACTTGAGGAGCTTCTGGGCCTTGAGAGGCCACCAAAATGGGACAAACTGGGTCCGGAAAGGCGGTTGTGAGGGGTGAGATGGGCCTTTGGACGCCATCAGGAGGCAGGAGTGGGGCCTGTCGAAGCTGCCGGAAGGCAGGAGCCTCCAACTGGGGAGGCTGCAGAGAGGCTGCGGCCTGGGGGTCGGAGGGTCTGTTGTGAGGCAGAGGCTGGGTCTGTATACGGGCCTACAGGAGGCAGTAGGCTGTGCCCAGAGAGGCCGACTGGAGGTCTAGTTCTGGGCCTGAAGAGGCCACCAAAAGTCAAAAGCAGGGCCTGGGAAGGCCACCGAGAGGCACGAGCTGACCTGGGACTAAAGAGGCCATTGAGGCAGGAGAAGCTGGGCCTGGAGAGGCTGACGGGAGGAAGTGGTGCACCTGGAGAGGCAGCCAAGAGGCGAGAGTTGGGCTGGGGAGGCCGAATTGAGGAAGACCTGGGCCTGTAGAGGCGGCCGGGAAGTAGTAGCTGGCCCCACAGAGGCCGACTTAAGGACAACTTGGGCCTGCAGAGGCCAACAGTAGGAAGATTCGGGCCCAGAGAGGCCAACTGTAGGAAGTGCACGGCCTGGAGAGGATGCAAAGCAACAAACGCTAGACCTGGAAAGGCCACCATCGAGGCATTAACTTGGCCTATGGAGGCCACTGGGAGGCAGAAGCTGGGCCTGCAGAGGCCGCCAAAGGGCAGGAGCTTGTCCTGAGTGGGCCACGGCGAGGCTAGAGGCGGGCCCGGAAGGGCCCACTGCTAGGTAGAGGCTGGGCCTGGAGAGGCCACCCACAGGCAGGTGCTGGGCCTGGAAAGGCCACGAGAGGCATGAGCGGAGCCCCATCAGTCCAGCATGAGAGAGGATGTCTGCCCAGAGGGGCCAGTGTGAGGCAGGCGCTCACACCTCTGGGCGGGCAGCGAGAGTCATGAATTGGGCTGAAACAGGCCACGGTGCAAGAGGAGCTGGGCCTGTCAAGGCTGCAGGGAGGCAGGTAGGCAGGAACTTGGTCCCGGGAAGCCACTGTGAGGTGAGAGCCGAGCATGGAGAGGCCCCTGGGAGGCAAGCATGGGGTCCGCAGAGGCTGTTCTCCACCTGGAGCTGGGTCTGTGCATTCCACCAGGAGGCAGAATGTGGGCCTACAGAGCTCTGGCTGGAGAAAGGCTTGGGCCTACAAAGGCTGGTGGGAGCTGGGAGGGAGCTGAGCCCTCAGAGGTTGCTTGTTGGAGGCCGGAGTCAGGCCTGTTGATGCAGCCAGGAGGAAGCGGAAGGGCTGGGACTGGACAGGCCGCCACGAGGGAGGCCAAGAATGGGCCTCTACAGGCCGACAGGAGTCAAGAGCTGGCCCTGGAAGGGCCCACTTGAGGACCCGTGTTGCGTGCGGAGAGACTGCCGGGAGGCCGGAGCTGGGCCTGGAGAGGCCGACTTCAGGACGATGTGGGGGCCTGCAGAGGACACCAGGGGGCCCAAGCTGGGCCTAGAGGAGCTGTCTGGAGGAAGTTTGGGGGTGTGGAGACTCCGTCGGAGGGCAGGAGCTGAGCCTCCTGCAGAGGCCACCGTGAGGCCTGAGCTGGGTCTGGAGAGCTTGGCTTCAGGAAGTTTTGGGCCTACATAGGCTGCCAAAAACTGGGCGGGAACTGAGTCCAAAGAGGTTGCTGTGAGGCAGGAATTGGGCCTGTAGATGCAGCTGGGAGGAAGAGCTGGGCCTGGAGAGGATGCCGGGAGGCTGCAGCCAGGTCTGGAGAGGCCGACTTGAGGAGCTTTTGGGACTGGAGAGGCTGCCAAAAGGTGACAAACTGGCCCCAGAAAGGCCATTGTGAGACGTTAGCTGGGCTTGAGGAGGCTCATGAAAGGCAGGAGCAGCTCCTGTCGAAGCTGCCGGAAGGCAGGAACTTTGGACTGGTGAGGCTGCAATGAGGCTGAGGACTGCGTGTGGGAGGGTCCGCTGTGAGGCAGAGGCTAGGCCTGTATACGGGCCTTCAGGAGGCAGGAGGCTGGGCCCAGAGAGGCCGTCTGGAGCTCAAGTTCTGGGCCTGAAGAGGCCACCAAAAGTCAAAAGCAGGGCCTGGGAAGGCCGCCAAGAGGCACGAGCTGGGCTGGGCCTAAAGAGGCCTTGGGGAGGCAGGAGGAGCTGGGCCTGGAGAGGCTGACGGGAGGAAGTTGTGAACCTGGAGACGCCACCGAGAGGTGAGAGCTGGGCAAGGGGAAGCCGACTTGAGGATGACTTAGGTCTGCAGACGTCGCCGGGAGGAAGGGCTGGTCCCGGAGAGGCTGACAGGAGGAAGTGCAGGGCCTTGAGAGGATGCAAAGCAGCAAATGCTAGGCCTGGAAAGGCTGCCATCCAGGCATGAGATTGGCCTAGGGAGGCCACTGGGAGGCAGGAACTGAGCCTGCAGAGGCTGCCAAAGGGCAAGAGCTTAGCCCAAGGGGGCCACGGCAAGGCAAGAGGCAGGCCTGGAGAGGGCTGACTACGAGGTAGAGGCTGGGCCTGAAGAGGTGACCCACAGGTAGAGGCTGGGCCTGGAGAAGCCACGAGAGGCATGAGCTGGGCCCCAGTGGGCCGGTGTGAAGGAGAACCTAGGACTATAGAATCCAGTGTGAGGCAGGAGCTCACACCACTGGGCGGGCCGTGAGAGGCAGGAGTTGGGCCGAAACAGGCCACAGCTTGGGAGAAGCTGGGCCTGTCGAGGCAGCCAGAAATCAGGCAGGCAGGAACCTGGCCCTGGGAAGCCGCTGTGAGGCAAGAGCCGGGCCTGGAGAGGCCCCTCAGACGCAAGCGTGGAGCCTGCAGAGTCCACTATCCAGCCAGTGCTGGGTGTGTGCAGGCCACCGGGAGGCAGAAGGTGAGCCTACAGAGTTCTGACTGGAGAAAGGTTTGTTCCTACAAAGGCTGGCAGGAGCTGGGCAGTAGCTGAGATCACAGAGGTTGCTTGTTGCAAGGTGGTAGTCGGGCCTCTCGACACCTCCAGAAGGAAGGGGAAGGGCAGGGCATGGAGTGGCCACCATGAGGGAGACAGAGTCTGGGCCTCTACAGGCCGACAGGAGGCAGGAGCTGGCCCTGGAGGGGCCCTCTTGAGGCCCCGTGTTGAGCCGGGAGAGTTTGCCAGGAGGCTGGAGCTGGGCCTGGAGTGGCCGACTTCAGGACGATGTGGGGGCCTGCAGAGGCCACTGGGAGGCCCAAGCTGAGCCTAGCGGAGCTGTCTGGTGGAAGTTTGGGGGTGTGGAGACTCCGTCAGAGGGAAGGAGCTGAGCCTCCTGCAGAGGCAACCGTGAGGCCTGAGCTGGGACTGGAGAGCTTGGCTTCAGGAAGTTTTGGGCCTACAAAGGCCACCAGGAGCTGGGCTTGAGCTGAGTCCAAAGAGGTTGCTGTGAGGCAGGAGTTGGGCCTGTAGATGCAGCCATGAGTAAGAGCCGGGCCTGGGAGGATGCCGGGAGACCGCAGCTGGGTCTGGAGAAACCAACTTAAGGAGCTTCTGGGCCTGGAGAGGCCACCAAAAGGGGATAAACTCGGCCTGGAAAGGCAGCTGTGAGGGTTGAGCTGGGCCTGAGGAGGCCATCATGAGGCAGGAGCAGGGCCTGTCAAAGCTGCCGGAAGGCAGGAGCTTTGGACTGGGGTGGCCACAGTGAGGCTGCGGACTGGCCATGGGAGAGTCCGCTGTGAGGCAGAGGCTGGGCCTGTATACAGGTCTTTGGGAGGCAGGAGGCTAGGCCCACTGAGGCCAACTAGAGATCAAGTTCTCAGCCTGAAGAGGCTGCCAAAAGTCAAAAGGGAGGCCTGGGATGGCTGCGGAGAGGCACGAGCTGGGCTGGGCCTAAAGAGACCACTGGGAGGCAGGAGGAGCTGGGCCTGCAGTGGCTGAGGGGAGGAAGTTGTGCACCTAGAGATGCCACTGAGAGGCGAGTGCTGGGTTGGGAGAGGCCTACTTGAGGAAAACTTGGGCCTGCAGAGGCCGCGGGGAGGAAGATCCGGGCCTGGAGAGGCCATCTAGAGGAAGTGCAGGGCCCGGAGAGGATGCAAAGCAGCAAATGCTGGGCCTAGAAAGGCCGCCATTGAGGCATGAGCTTGGCCTATGGAGGCCACTGGGAGGCAGGAGCTGGGCCTGCAGAGGCAGCCGATGGGCAGGAACTTGGCCTGAGGTGGCCACGATGAGGCAAGGAGCGGGCCCAGAAGGGCCCACTGCCAGGTAGAGGCTGGGCCTGGAGAGGCGGCCCACAGGCAAGGGCTGGGCCTGGAGAAGCCATGGGAGGCATGAGCTGTGCCCCAGTGGGCCAGCGTGAGGGAGGACCTTGGCCTAGATAGGCCCGTGTGAGGCAGGAGCCCACACCTCTGGGCGGGCAGCGAGAGGCATGAGTTGGGCCGACACAGGCCATGGTGTGGGAGGAGCTGGGCCTGTCCGGGCTGCCAGGAGGCAGGCAGGCAGGAACCTGGCACCAGGAAACTGCTGTGCGGCCAGCACTGGGCCTGGAGACCCCCTGTGAGGCAAGCATGGCGCCCTCAGAGGCTGTTCTCCAGCCAGAGCTGGGTCTGTGCAGGCTACCGGGAGCCAGAAACTGGGCCTATAGAGCTCTGGCTGGAGAAAGGTTTGGGCCTACAAAGGCTGGCGGGAGCTGGGCAGGAGCTGAGCCAACAGAGGTTGCTCGTTGCAAGGCAGGAGTTGGGCCTGTCGACACAGCCAGGGCAAAGGGGAGGGGCTGGTCCTGGAGAGGCCACCATGAAGGAGGCAGTAGCTGGGCCTCTACAGGCTGACGGGAGGCAGGAGTTGGCCCTGGAGGGACCCACTTAAGGCCCTGTGTTGTGTGTGCCTGGAGAGGCCGCCATGAGACTGGAGCTGGGCCCGGAGAGGCTGACTTCAGGACGATGTGACGGTCTGCAGAGGCCACAGGGAGGCCCAAGCTGGGCCTAAAGGAGCCGCCTGGAGGAAGTTTTGGGGCCTAGAGACTCCACCGGATGACAGGAGCTGAAACTCCTGGAGAGTACACCATGAGGCCTGAGTTGGGCCTGGAGAGCTTGGCTTGAGGAAGTTTTGGGTCTACAAAGGCCGCCAGGAGCTGGGCTTAAGCTGAGTCCAAAGAGGTTGCTGTGAGGCAGGAGTTGGGCCTGTAGACGCAGCCGTGAGTAAGAGCTGGGCCTGGGAGGACGCCAGGAGGCTGCAGCTGGGTCTGGAGAAACCGACTTAAGGAGCTTCTGGGCCTGGAGAGGTGGCCAAAAGGGGACAAACACGGCCCGGAAAGGTGGCTGTGAGGGGTGAGCTGGGCCCGAGGAGGCCATCACAAGGCAGGAGCGGGGCCTGTCGAAGCTACTGGAAGGCAGGAGCTTCAGACTGGGTTGGCCGCAGTGAGGCTGCGGACTGGCCGTGGGAGAGTCTGCTGTGAGAAACTAATCTAGGAGTAGAAAGAATATGGTAGCTGAGGGGAAAAAAGAAAAGATGACTTAGCCACAAATTCATCAGGAGCAAAATGTTGACTCAGAAAGTTGTCTAGATCACCGTCTCCAAAGCTGATGCAGTGTCCTTATGAAAATATATTTCAACGTGTCCATAATTGTATGTAATGAAAATATCTGTCAACAAATGTACTGCTAGAATAATGTGAACATTATGAAATGAAATTTGAAAGAGTAAAATAAAAAGCTCAGCACTCATTTCCTAAGTCCCAGTGAATTATTACTCTCCACCATGGAGGCCATCAATCTAGGTAGTATGTGGATATTTAACAGTTACTGTTGAATCACCAAGGAAGGTCCTAGTGAAGACTGCTGTGGTGTCCTGCTTGATCTGAAAGTAAAGTTTGGCACACCAATAAATTGAAGTCCTTTATAATAAAAAGCTTGCAAATGTAAGTCCTTGTACTTCTTTCTGCTGCAGAGGACACTATCCAGAAAGACACACACAATGGAAGAAAATATTTGCAAGTCATATATTTAATAAGGGACTTACATTCTAGAATATATAGAATTCTTACAACTTAAGAATAAGACAACCCAATTAAAAAGTGGGCAAAGAATCTCAATAGACATTTGTCGAAATATACAGACACGTGAAAACATGTTCAACTCAATCATCAAAGAAATGCAAATCAGAACCACAATGAAATACTATTTTACATCCACTGTACTAGTCCATTTTCATGCTGCTGATAAAGACATATCTGAGACTGGACAATTTACAAAACAAAGAGATTTAATGACTTACAGTTCCACCTGGCTGGGGAGGCCTCACAATCATGGTAGAAGGCAAGGAGGAGCAGGTCACCTCTTGGGTGGATGGTGGCAGGCAAAGAGATTGGGCAGGGAAACCACCCCTTATAATACCATCAGATTGTGTGAGACTTATTAAGTATCACAAGAACAGCACGGGAAAGACCTGCCTCCGTGATTCAATCACCTCCCACTAGGTTCCTCTCACAAAACATGGGAATTCAAGATGATATGTGGGTGGGGACACAGCAAACCATATCATCCACTATGATGGCTTTCATCAAAAAAGCAAATAAGTGTTACTGAGAATGTGGAGGAAGCAAAAGTTCCACACGCTGCTGGTGGGAATGTAGCATGGTGGATCTACTTTGGAAAACAGTTTGGGAGTTCCTTCAAAAGATAAACACAGGGTTATCATTTGAGCCAGGAATTCCACTTGTTAAACTGAAGGCCGGGGGGCAGTGTCTGATGCCTCTAATCCCAGCAATTTGGGAGGCTAAGGCAGGAGGATCGCTTGAGCTCCAGAGTTCGAGACCAGTTTCGGTGACATGGCGATATCCTGTCTCCACAAAAATACAAAAATTAACAGGGCACGGTGGCATATATCTGTGGTCCCAGG